TGCATTGTGTCGCTGTATGTGGAGGAGGGGTCTAAGAGGGAACAGTGCCACTTGTTGAGCTCTCTGCTGGAGTTCAGTCACTTCCCCCACTGCCCACAAGCAAACTGGGCCCTTCTGGTGCTGACGCCCAGGTGGGTAGGTTTGTGTACATTCTAGGACCCTGTGGGTCTCTCCAACAAATGCTCCTATGAGGCTGCGATTTTCTCCCACAACCACGAACCCCACAGGTTTATTTAGTCAGAGGCTTTAAGGCTTTATTTCCTCGTGCTGGAGCCCTGGGTTGTGCCGTCTGTCTCGCTCCCCAGTTGTTCCTCCTGGTTTATCTGCATGCAAATGTAAGACCACGAGGTCCACAAGCCGCCACCTTCCCTCGAATCCTCTCCACCCGGCTGCTCATTTCCACCCCTCCTACCAGTCTGGGTGAGTGTTTCTTCTTTAACTCCTTAATTGTAGGACTTCCATACAGTTTGATTTTCTGGCAGTTCTGGTTGTTTTTAAATTTGTTGTTGTCCTTGTTTTGGTTGTGCAAGGAGGCACAGTATATCTACCTACACCTCCATCTTGGCTGGAAGTCTCCAAAACTAATCTTAAATAATCTGTGATGTTAGTTTAGGGAGTTGCATGAAATTGAATGCAGCTTCAGGAGCCTCAGGCAAGAGCCTGTGGGTGGGGAGTGAAGGCCGAGCCCCACCCCACTCAGGCCCCACAGGACAGCGGCTTGTACCGAGGCAGCTTGTGCACTGCCCGAGGGGACCCAGAAAGGGGCTGGGGGGGTCCAGCTTCCCACTGTGTGGGGCTGAGTCCGTCAGCAGGAAGGCCTGTTCTGATGCATGAAAAGGCACTGTTTTTTTGTGTTACTTGCTCACTACTCATGTTGTAAGCACACTGTCAGACATCAGGAAAGGAAAGCAATGTCACCTGAGCAATGTCCCAGTCAGATTTTTCTTGCCCTTATTTACTCGCAGGTGTCTGCATTTTTCCTCTAATGCGCTCAGTCTGGGGACGTGGAGATCCGGGTTGGAACCTGCCCCAGCCCCGCTGCCTCCACCTGTGCCAGCTGCTGCGGGAACTGCAACTGCAGGTGCACCGGCCTCACACCTGCCTGCATGCTCTGACCTCAGGCGGCTCCCGTGGGCTCCAAAGCCACACCACGTGAGCTTGTTCACCCAGGCACACGGACTATTTATCTAATTTTAGTTCTCCGAGCCTCAGCTTTCCCAAATGAGAAAGCCCAGGAAATCACCTGCGTGCATGGGTAGGCGCAGGGAGAGGCAGCGGGTCCGCCGGTGCCGTGGGTTCCTGCTCCACCGACCCCGCAGGGTGGGTTCCAGGCGTGCGTTTCCAGGTGGAGGGGCGGTGTCTCTGCAGGCTCAGGGGCCGCCGGTTTTGTAACACGGCAGTCACCGAGCCAGCCCTCCCTTTCTGCTGGATATTCGTGGGCCAGGGCTCTCACGTTTCTCATAAGAGACTGTCAGATGCCAAGAAAGTGCTTGGGCCACAAAACTGTTTTCGACTGCTCCCAGCCTGACGTCGGGGTGGACCGCTCTGGCGCCTGGGTGAGTCCCACCATGACTGGTCTGGAAGGTAGGAGGAAATAGCGTCCTGAAGGGTTTCCACTCTGGTTAGAGCCCGGACGTGCTTGTGTGGGCGGGGGGCAGAGGCATGGAAAGGGCTGCCAGGGTCCTTGTACACGTGATGGGACCCCACTAGTGAGCGGGGGACCCAGTGCCACACCCTGAGGTGCAGAGCTCAGCTGCTCAGCTGGGGGAGCTCCCCTCCCCCCCTCTGCTGCCTGGCCTGGGAGGGGGCCTCATCCTCACATGGGGACCAGGTTGACCCACAGACAGTGCCCAGGACATGTTTGGAGTCAGACATGACTGACTCCTACTATTTGTCCAGATGGTGACACTCTCACCTGCTGGACTTAGAGATGGAACACAAGAGAGAGTTGCTGTTGCTGAGGGTGTCCATCTTGTCACTGGGATCACAGACCTTCCAGGAATGGGGGTCACCAGGAGACAGCAGATCAAAGGTGAGCATGGATCTGGTCCCAGCAATGCAGCTCATGCCCCTAGATCCAGCTGTGCCTGAAGGTGGTCAGCTTGGCTTTTGAGCAGGGGGAGTTGTGTGTGCTCAGTGACAGTTGAGCAGCTTGGTCAGGTTTCTGTTCTCTTGACTGACACATAGCTTTGAAAGAGCTGGGTGTCCAAAATCAGAGAACCCATCGCTGGAGAAGGCCCAGGCACGGCTGCCCACAGCCCTAGCTGTGTGGGTATCTGGCCTCCTCTTGGGCATCTCGAGGGATGGGGACTCCATTCTGCAGAGCCGTTCACTTGGGGAGTAGCTCAGTCCCTGGTTCTTTCCCCTGAGTTGGTTGCCCTGGAGCTTCTTCCAGAGGCCTCATGGGGTCGGCATGTGGACGGGAGCTCCCAGCCCAGCACCACATCCTCATGCACACGGGATGCTCCTTGGGGCCCAAGGCCATGAGTTTGGTTATTAGCTCCCTGCCTGGTTGTACAGGATGGCTGAGTGCTGGGTTTATCTCATCCCTGGTCACGCTGCACCCAGAGTTAATTGGCTGTGTCACTGCCTCCCTGAACAAGGACCAGGTTTGATTGCAGAGAACAGGGAAGGCAGGAGGGTACGGCTCACCTGAGCGGAGGGAACATTCATCTCAGGTCAGGGCCCCTCACTAGAGCTGCTGACTTCCTTCGAGGTCACCAAATGATTAGAATTTCAAACCCCCAAAGTGCAGGCCCTTCTCTGTGATGTCACTCAACCCAGCCAGCAGGTCTGAGGCCAGCAAGATGAGGCCTCCAAAGTCCCAATGTCTGTATTCAATGGCCCACCTTTGTTTTTAAAAGATTAGATGGAAATTGTTGAAAATGGAAGTTCAGTGGTTTGTCAGGATCAGCAGGAGGCGGCGCTGCTGAGGGGAGAGTGTGCCACAGGGGAGGTGGGAGGGGGCCCCTGGCCTAGGCTCCCCCCCCTCCCGGTGGGAGTCACAGTCTCCAAGTGTCCCAGGAAGAGGGGTGAACTGAGGGGCTGTGGGCTGGAGAGTCTCCTGTGCCCCTCAGTTTGCTCCGACCCCCAGCTCAGGAAACCGCCGTGGATCCAGGACCTGGGGCATCTGAGCCTCCTTGCCCTCCCCTCCTACAAAGGGAGTGGCTCCACTCGTCCAGCCTCTCACCAGAGCCCAGCTTGGCCTGGGCCCTGTGGGGACTCCTGGTGACCTTCCTGTCCCTTTCTGGACCCTTCCTCTGCTTCCTGCCCAGCCCCCTTTCTGCTGGCCTGGGGATCCATGACCCCCTCCCTGCCCCATGCTGCCCCGTGAATCCCTGCTTGGGCTGCTAGGAGCTGCTTTCTGCTGCCTGACCCAGCCTGATGTGAGTGCCTTCGAGGCCTTTGCCCAGCTGTTCGTGCTCCTCAAAGTCCCTCCACCTGGATCTGTCTTGTCGCAGACGTCCTGGAACAGGTGCAGTGACCCACCTCATCCCCCCTCTTGGAGCTGACACCCTCCGACCTGGATCAGGGGCCTGTGTGCTCACCCAGCACCAGCTGGACCCGCAGGCAGAGTTGGTTCTTTGTGCCCCAGCGCCCTCCGATGGGTGGTGCTCGTGACCCCTTCCTCTGGAGCACAGGTTTCCCTCCCAGCAGCCCCCGCTCTCAGCTCTAACTTGTGTTCCCATGTCCCCACCATCAGAGTGCTCACTCTCAGGCTCCCAGAGGTTTATCCTCTGCTAACCCACTGTGTGGACCACCCGACAGGCCTCAGGTCGGGGGATGGGAGCAGGAGGCCAGAGAGGAATTTGTTGCAAGGTGCAGACAGCAGAGAAAAGGGGGACAGATTGCAGGGCCCTTCCAGCAGCCCCGAGAGTACCTCAGAATTTCAGCTTTCTAGAAAATTCATTTTATTAATATTTGAACGTACAAATGTAAATAGAATAAATATTTCATCATTTCACCCTGCACAGCCAACACTGCTGGAGCCCTGCGAGTGTTCAGGGCAGACTTCAGAAGCCTGGGAAGGAGATGGAGCACCCAGGGCGCGGGCCCCGACCCCGCCGCGTCCCAGCTGCTGGGCTCAGCAGAAGCGCCCTGTGTGCCCGCCCGTCACACGGCATGTGCTCGCCATCCACCGCCGTTTGCCCAGGTGTCCCTTTAGTCAGGGTTCCCAGTTGGAAGGGACAGGGTGGGGCCGACCCATGTGCCTGGTGGCATTCCCACCAGTGGCAGCAGGCTGAGGCCTTGAAAACCTGCTGGGGAGGGGCGGAGCCTGAGGAGAGCAGCTTGCCTGCCAGGCCCCTCCCGGGTGGCCGCACCCCTGCAGCAAGGGGGGGGGGGCTTCTCGGACAAGTGCTGCCACCCAGTCCGTGCGTGTTGCAGTGACAGTCACAAATGCACAGGCAGCAACCTGGACAATGGTGTCAATATGGACCAGTTTCTGCATGAACAGGCCAAATCACTCAAGACCTGCAGTGGGACTTTCTAGCACTCCTAGACAGGAGAGGGATCACTTCACAGCCCCCGCCCCCACCTGGCTCCGGGAGGCAGTGGTTCACCTCTCTCCGACTCACACAAGGTCACACTTACGGCAAAAGGGCAGCACCAAGGGCTCTGCTCTGGGGGCCGACACAGGAGTTGCGATGACTGACCCACAGGCCGTATCACACCAAATCCTTGGGCCTCACCGGCTCTGCAGCCCCGCTGGGGTGGGAGCTGGTCGCCCGCCCTTGACTCACTGGGAAAACCCTCCCGACTGTGGAAACCACGCTGTGGGCCCTGCTGGCGGCTGAGGCGGGGTTTCAGACCCTGACAGAAGACAGAGCCAGAGTCCCCAGAAAGCGGCAGCGCCTTTTCATAGGTGGCAGCAGCTGGAGAAGACACTGAGAAGGGGGCGCAGCCCCAGGGGTAGCGTGGCACACACTTTGGCTTGTGAGGTGGCACATTGTGCCCACGTGTGGCCTCTGGGTCTGAGACCCTGAGCCATGACAGTTTGCTGTCTAGCTGCTGGCCAGGGGCAGGAGTGACCCCATGGTGACCTGTGTCCTTACAGGAAGCCAGCAAGCCCACTGAGTGTAAAACGGGTGCAAGGCATGGGGCCCCCGAGGTGCCAGCTTAGTACGCGATCTTCCAGTGCGTGGGCTGCTCGCACACCTTCTCCTGGTCCCCACAGAAGCGGTTGTACGTGGTCTTGGGGTCCAGCCCTAGGATCTCTCTTTCCTCATGAATCCGAAAGGAGAACGTGGAGACCGAGGTGCCGATGAAGAACCTGCAAAGCAACCGCGGAGGTCACCAGAGTCGCATGGAACAGGTCCGGTGCTCAAAGACCCTCAGACGCCTGCCCAACCCCCGGGCCCTGGCACTCTGTGGCTGTCATTACGGCTGAGTGGCCAGGGCTGGCAGGACAGAGCAGACCCTGGAGGAGCCCACAGGCCGGGCTGGGGAGTGCCTGGCTGAGTCTCGGGTGCTCAGGAGACAGACAGCCCTGCAGGGGGCAGACTCGAGACACCTGCTAGATTCTGGCTTCAACAGGCGAGGGCCTAGAACCACTAGCAAGACTGTGGTGGTGGGAAGTAGTCACCTGCAGCCGCCAGCCCCTCCAGCACCGCTGTCTGGGAACAAAGGCACAGAGTCTGCCCCGCAAGACGCCTGCCAGGTTTGGGTCTGTGGAAGGCAGGTGGCAGAAGCACTAAGCACAAAAATCCACAGAACCCGGGGGCTGAGGAGACAGGGCTGTCAGGCTCTGGTTTAGAAGCCTGAGGGGAGGGGGCTGGCCGAGGTACAGGCCAAGTCTCTCAGCCCCAACCCACCTCCATCCCTGCCAGGGCTGAGCCTGCCCCACAACTCCACCTGCTCAGCGGAGGAAAAGGGCCTCTTGCCCTGGAGAAGGGCGTCCCTGGGCCTTTGCTATAGCACCCAGCACGCCCAAGAATAGATGCAAGTGCCAACCCATGAAAGCCAGACTCGAGTGGCCACCCAGGGGTCTGAGAACCCCAAGGACAGAAGGAAAACTGGCTACTCACTCCACTTTTACTTTCCATCTTACTGCAAGTGTTCTCTCTGACTTCCTCCCAGCACCAACAGGCGGGAGTCCACAGAGGGACCCACAGGGGGACCCGGGACCTGTTCTCCCTTGGGCAGCCCGCCGCCTACAAGGGCGACCCCACGACAGAGACAAGACCGAGGGCGCGTGCTTTCCGACTCGGCTCACCCTGGGCTCAGTCTCCACGGATGCAACCCAGGCGGGGCTGCTCCTGGCCGGCAGGACTGGGATGGAGGTGGGCCACACTGGCCCTCCTCTGACAACGTTAGGCAGAGGGGAGGCTTTGGGTAAAGCAACGGGGATAGTGCACCACGGGCCAAAGGAATGAGACCCTGAGACCACCCAAGGCCCACTGAGCCCAACGTGACAAGGGACTTAACAGTGGGGCAGACATGCAGCAGTGACCAACGCGGGCCCAGAACTCTGCCAGTCCTGAGTGTCTGGTATCGGGACTGGTCAACCTCAGCCCGGAGCACCTGGCGTGTGAGCAGATCCACTGGTCGATGATGGCCACACCCCCGTCTTTGTAGAGCTCCAGCTCCTCCCACGTGGGCTCGAACCTCACCATCTCCGGTAGCAGCTTTTTCAGCTCCTCGTGTTCTGCAAATTAAAAGGAGACACTGAGCAGGGGTATACAGGTGCCAACAGGCGTCTGCCCACCAGGAGGACAGGCTGATTTCTAGGGAACTGGCTAACGAGGCAAAGGGGACAAAACCACAAAACTCCGGTTCCCCTCCTAGCGTCACGGGTCCGTGTCCATGCCCAGGTCCACCCAGAACGCACCCGGGGCAGGAAGAGACGGGCGCAAGCCGGCACTGCTCACCCGTCCTGACAGCGTCTGTGGCCACAAACACTCTGTCCAGCCCGTGGCTCTCCATGAGGCTGCGGATCCTCTTCACAGCGCCGTCCAGACTGGGCACGTCCTCCCTGTGGCCCCAGATGAAGTCTTTCCTTCTCAGGTGGACGGCGAGGTACGGGCCCCCCCGCGAGGAGCCCAGCCTGACCTGGCAGAGCAAGACCGGGACACGAGGAGGTGGACCCACGAGCTGTGTCAGCGTGCAGGTGCTGGCACGCGGGGGGCGCAGAGCGGACTCGGGTCCACACGCAGCGTCCTCTGCGCGTCTCCCTGAGGCGCTCAGGCGGACAGGGTGTCTGTAAGGCTGGAGTCACTAATTATCACAGCCTTCGGTCCGAACAGAAGAGTAAATAAAGTGCTGGAGAAAGTGATACACACTGGATAAAAGACAAAAGCTTCCACTTCACGTCTTCCTGGTGGAGACCGCCCATAGACCACTAACGAGTGCCCAGGCAACGCCACCCCAGGTGAAAATGGCCAAAGGCCCCGCAGCAGAACAAACCAGTGAAATGGTGTTCCTCTCTATGAAGCAGTTTGCTGCTAAAAACCACAACTTGAAAAAGCAACATTTGTTTAAGTTGCGGGAAAACTCAACCTTTTAGAAGAACAATCCTTAAAAAGGCTGATGGCAGACCGAGAGGCTAAGCGGTGCTTTTGGGGGTGTGGGGGCGTCCCGCCCTCTTCCCCTTTACTGCTCTTGTCTTGTAGAGCAGGCGACATGGAACGCAGCAGGACCTCCTCCTGTCGCCATCGTCTCAGCCCCAGAGCGACCCTCAGGGCTGCTGGAACCCGCAGTAACTCCCCTTCCCTTCCCTGCAGGGACATGGTCCTAGCAATGGCCCTGAATTTGCACCGGTCAGTGTGTGCGTGTGTGTGGGCCAGGGAGCGGGGTCCCCAGTAAGTGGCATCCACGGGGAATTACAGCAATGAGTGTGGACTGTGTTAGGGGAGGTGCCACCAAAGGTGACAATCATGCCACCCCCACCTGCTGTAAAGTAAGGGGTTCGTTATCCTGCATCTGGAAGGACAGTTCACTTTTCCCCCGAACTGAAGAGGCAGGACCTACCTTCATCTTGGTCCAGTCCTCCTCGTAGGGGATCCCGTCGGCCTCGTCCGTGGAGTTAAGGTGTTTGCTTCGGAACTCGTCGCCTGCCGCCCGCAGGCGCTCGGCAAACACCATGCTCCGCCGTGTCTGGGTGTGGAGACAGCCCAGCTGAGCACCCCAGCCCGTGTGCTCGCTCAGCCCCTACCCGGACCCCTGCAACAAGCCCCTGGGGCCCTGCCAAATCCAGGGCCCACTCCCAAAATCTAACGGAAATGCCAAGGACGCCAAGCTGGCCGAGCCATGCGTGGTCCCTACTCAGCCACGGGGCTGTCCAGCAGGGTGACGAGGTGGCGACCGTTAGCGAGTTGGTCAGTGAGGAGAGTGCTCACGAGGACACTGACCCACCACGGGCTCTGCAGGCCAACAGCCACGACCCCGTGCCCTCCCCAGCAGGGCCAAGCCCTGACTGTGACTGGCACTGTGGGGGAGCTCTTATAGGGGGACCTGAAAGGCTAGTGGGGGGCCCACAATGCTGAAGGCACAGGACTGTTACATCGACAGTGACAATGATGGCAATTCATGCTTCTGAAAGGACCTGCTGAGAAGGCGCCCAGGTCACATGGCCAGGTCTCACCTGTCCCCTGCTCAGCCCGCCCACAAGAGGCCCACAGCCCTGGACAGGGCAGACCCTGACCACAGAGGAGGTCTGTGGCTGCACGGGGGACGTGACTCCCATTTCTTCAGCCTCCTGACCCACAGCAACAGGGTGTGGGCGCCCCCAGGAGGAGGGCGAGCCCATTACCTCACGGCTGAGAAGCAACCTGGGCGCTGCCCTTTATCACGCAGCAGGTGTACAGACGGCAGGACACAAATTGCTGTGTTCCCCTTTAAATAAATTGGCTGCCATATAAAACAAACCTGCAGCTCCTCAATGAACAAACCTGGGAACCCGTGTAGATGACAAAAATCAAGCCAACTGCATGACTGGGCTGCCCCCAAGGGCGGTGCCAGAGCACAGAGGGTCCCACAGACTGGCCTTATCCAGGGCCTCTAGGAGGTGACCAGGTGGAGGGCACCTGAAGCCCACAGGTGAGAGAAAACATTTGCCTTGAAGGTGAGATCGGTGTTTTTTCTTTAAGGCAGCTGGAATTTACCTAAAAACCTGCATTTTTATTTTCAGCACCGACATCTCCTAAGAAGCAATCTCTCCCCACATGCTAGGATCTGGGTGATGCTGGGAGCCGAGGGGGCGGAGCCAACCCAGCAGGGGCAGGTGCCCCCGCCCGTCCCCGATCCTTCAGGACACCTGCACACAGCCTCCAGGAGAGCCACCCCTCGCCCAGCAGAGCCCTGGGGCCAGGCCCCAGAGAGGTGGGAACAGTGCCCCCTACAGGCTTCTCTCAGGACGCGCTTCCTGCCTGTCCCACGGCAGTGAGGACCGGGCCTCTTTTCCGAGCCAGTGGCCTGACCAGCCAGCTGCCACCCGCGCCCCCACGTCAGCAGCCTCACGCTGCTGCCAGGAGAGAAGCCGCTCTCTGAGCTCTACCACCCTTCACGCACGATGGCCGTGGCATCAAGCCAGCCAGAGCCAGTGGCCCATCGAAGCAGAGATGCAGCTCCCGTGGCAGAAAATACCCTACTTGTCAAAGCTGAAGAGAGATGAGCAGAAAAGCCCTCGACGCACATACTGAAGGATGAGGTGGCAGGAAAGGACAGGCTGCTGCAGATGTGGGGGCAGCTGACAGTCACCCAGGCTCCCACCCTGAGACCTGGCCACACCCTCACCCTGGGGCACCCCGAGTGTGGTGGGGAGAATCCACGGCCATACCCACACCCAATACTACTCAGAACCTCACGGTTTCGGTCAGCAAGGTTGAAAACAAGAGCGGCAGACAGTCTTAGATTTTCAAAAACTGAACAAATTAGAACACTGTACGGCACTTCGGGGCGATGCCCGGGCAGCACTCACGTCCCAGTACTCCTTCCCTCCGTAGTGGTCGTGCAGGAGGTTCTCGGCTCTGTCTAACATCACGGACCTATTTTTGAACAACAGAAAAAGAGAGAGGAGAGTTTAGCTTTAAGAACGGTTACTGAACTTCACATGCGCCAGACAGCACCGTCAGCGTGGTGCCGGGGCCACTGGGGTGAATTCTGAGAGGGCACTGACTTCGTGGGTCACCAGGGCGCAAGTGGGTAGCTACTGCTGACCCTCCAAGCAGCAGCTGCCTGGGCCCCCACACCGTATTTCCGAGAGAGTTCTAATTTCTAGGTGGCTCAAAGCATTCATGGGGTTGCTCCTGTCCCAGCCCCTGCACCAGAGGTCACGAGCCTACTTGTGACTATTGATGTAAAAAAGAAAACAAACCAATCGAATAAAACTAGCAAACAGAAACTGGCAGTCTACTGAGGAAGTGACCCATGTAACCAACACGGTTCACGCCAGGAATAAAAGACGGTTCAACAATAGAAAATCTGTTACTCAACTCCACACGTCAGCAGGTAAAGGGCAAAGCCACATAGCGGTGGCTTCCACCACAAAGGCATGGGGGCGTTTACTCCCAGCTTTAAAAAACGGCCAGTAAAACGGGGATGAGGAACTCCTTACGCTGTTTGTGTTTCTCAGGCCAAAGCTGGTACCATCTTCAGTGACGACCGTTTGTTCCTGCCCTGCAGAGCGAGGGCCAAGAGAGGCTGTGCTTGAGGTCACCAGACCACCTGCAGCACCAGCACGCAGAGGGGACACTCCAGAAAGAGGCCCGCATCCACTGGGGATGGGTGACGCGGGGGCAGGACAGACGTGGAGAGGAGGCCATGCTGGGGAGATGGGGCAGGTGGCCGGGGGCTGCACTGCAACAGAACCAGGCCTCCGTGGTCGGAGCGCAATGTGGAAACTCAGACTATGAAAGTGGAACTTGAAAGAATTGTTAAGAATATTGAGATGGTAAAGGTTGGGGGAAAAAACCCAGAAACCATTGAAGAACAGACACAGAAACTGGCAAGACTTCAGCAGGTTCAGAAAAACTTCAGAAGAGCTTTTCACTCTGAAATCATAGAACCACAGACTAACAGCAGGGGTCCACTTTTCACTTACCAGTTCAGGACCCCAGCTCCCTGCCCGGGGGCGCCGTGTGGGGTGAGTCCCACCGGTGCTGTGCATCACTATGCACACCCCACAGCCCCAGTCACTTCTACTCTGGGTCCGAGCCTCCAGTTCTCCTCCCCCACTTGTGGGCAAAAATGTTTCCTGTTTTTGTTTTTTTTTTTAAAGATTTTATTTATTTTTAGAGATAGAGAAGGAGAGAAATATCAATGCATGGTTGCCTCTCGTGAGTCCCCTGCTGGGAACTGGCCTGCAACCCAGGCATGCGCCCTGACTGGGAACCGAACCGTGATCATGTGGTTTGCAGGCCCACGCTCAATCCACTGAGCTACACCAGCCAGGGCTGTTTCCTGTTTTTAACACCAAGAACCAACCAACCGACCAACCCACCAAAGACCACCTCCTTGGGCTGGTTCAGCTAAGTCCCGTAATCTGGGCTGAGACCACCGCAGAAGAACGTGGTGACCCCCTGGGTCTTCCGCACCCAGGGACATCAACCTCGCCGAGGAAACGCAGAGCATGACTCCATTCGTGTCTAAGAGAGGGGGTGCACACACCCAAACACTCGACGGAGGCAAAAAAGCCCTGGGAAGAAACGAAGTGGCTGGACACAGTGGCAGGGTGCGGGGTTGGCGCGAGAAGGGCCCGTGTCACAATGAAACACAGCACTGCCCACAGAAATGCGCATTTCCGCTGTGTGTGCCGTTAAGCCAGGGCTCTGCCCCTGGCTGTCCAGGCACCGTACGGCAGGAGCTGCCTTTGCCGCTGCCCTCGCTCCTAAATCGAGGGGCCTGCACTCTGGGCACGTGTCTCCTTTTGTGCGTGCTGCATTCTTACCTGTGAGACGCATAGAAAAGCGACTAGTAAGCTTACACGTCCCTCAGGTCCAAACTTCAGCCAGATCTGCTTTTGAAACCCAAGCGTTTTTTAGTGAGGAGGCTGGCTTAGGAACCAGCAAAGCCAGAGCTCACGGCTGGGCCCGTGAGCCGACTTTTCCGTGAGTGAAAACCTGGTTCCTTCAGCAGAGGTCTGCTGGCCTCTGACAGACCTACTGCGTGCTGCCTGCAAAGGCCTACTTAGCGTGCCCCCCGTGGTCCTAATGCAGGGAAAAGGGGCTGAAAGGGATGAGGCAGGGCCCTGCCTGGCACCCTGGAGCACGGGGCAGGACTGTGATCCTGCTGTGACCCCCGGAAAACAGTCAGGCCTCAGTCGGGCCTCGGAGATGCCCTAAGGCTTCCCTGGGCGCTGAGCTCCCCAGGGCTCAACGGCATCAGTGAGGCCGTCACGGGAGGCCTGCCCTCATGTGCCTGCTTCGGACTAAAGGCAGCTCAGAAGGGCTTCTTATTTCAGGGTCCCATGTCCCCCAGCAACTCAACCTGCAGGAATCTTCTAAGAACATTACTGCCTGGCTGCCAAGACCCCGTGCAGCTCCCTAGTTAGTGTTTCACAAACCAAACTGGTGGACTCAGGCCTTCGCAGGCACCTCTCAGCGCCACCCAGTGGTGAGCGAGGGCTGCTGCAGTCCAAGAGGCACCAGGCCACCAGGGAGAGGACAGTGCAGGGGGATGGCGTGGGGGGCCTAATACACTTCCAGCAGGAGTGGCCAGAAGCAGCTGCCCAGAGAAGCATTTCTGGGAGAGGCTCCAGACACTTCTCTGACCTCACCAAGGTCAGGTTCAAGGGGTTGCACAGGAAAGCCTCATTTCAGAGGTGACCCAAATAGGGAGCATTGGGCTCCTGCACCACCGAGCACTCAAGGCCAGTTCTGGCTGGCTGCCCCAGCACCACAGCATCACAGTGGGTCATTTCAGAACCCTCCCGGCCCTGCCCTTCCAGCTCCGTCTCTGCCCTCACCTGACTCAGCCACATGTCCTCATTGCTACAGGAACACTTGGCCGTCACCAGGGCAGATGAAGAAAATAAAATTGGTGCCCCTCCTAGTCCAGCCCACCACCTTCATCCTGTCCTCCCCTCTTCACTGCCCCTCCCCCAAGGGCCCCTTTCACCCCCACTGCACCCAGTGGGGCCTCAGCCGGTTCCCATCACCTCGAACAGGGGCCCCGACTGAAACAGGTGTGAGTGACTCCACTAGCCACCAGCCGTAGCACTGGCGGTGTGTCCCCGCCACGCAGTTCAAAGGAGGGGCAGCTCTGAGGGGCACCTGCCCATGGGGACCACAGGAGGCACCTGTAGCACAGCCTCCGTGCCACTGAGCCAAACTGAGGGCCTTTTCCTGGCCTTTCCCCAAGGACACACGCAGCCTCCTCCTGGAAGCCAACGCCTGTCCTGCCTGGCTGTGGGGTGGGTGTGGGGGAGGGCACAAGGTCTAACTCTCCAGGGACCCCACACAGGTCAATGTCAGAAGGCATTCCAATGCCACCAGGACAGAGCACACACATGCGCACACAGCCACACATGCACAGTCATGGCACACCTGCTCACACAACACACCCACATGCACATGTGCACACACACACATGCAGCCACATGTGCATAGGTGCACCCATGCATATTTGCATACGTGCAGATACACACATGCACAAATTCACACATACGCATGCGCACATGCACACCCTCACGTACTGGCCCGTCACCTACCGTGCTGACGTGTTTCTCAAAAGCACAGGCGCGATGATGGATGCCGATCCTTGAACAGACAGACAGGACACGTTTAGACCCCTTGTTTCTTCGTAACCCCAAAACCATCCTCTGGAAAAGAAGAGCCACAGGAGCCCTCAGTTCAGCTTGTTCCCACAGGCAGTGAGCGACACCTGGATGCACACGCGTCACCTTGACCTTGATACGCTCAATGTTTCCCGTGGTGACAGCCTATTGGTCCTGATCAGCAGTAGGGACGTCCGTGTGAGAATTTTCGAAGAAACCATCAATTCTGCCCGACCCCACGAGACCACTGCAGTTCCTTCCAGGAAGTGGGACGGTACAGGGACGGAAAGGCAGGGGGAGCCCAGAAGGAACCGGATGGAAGTGACCCTTCACGCTTCAGTGCCAGAGTTGTGAGGGTGACGGTCCCTAAAACACAGCTCTTCCGAAGAGCTGCGGTGTCTGTCGCTCAGTGTCAGAGCCACTGATGCGGAAGCCCTCCCACCAAGAGGCCTTCTGATGGCAACTTACAACTGTGGTGACAGGACCGCCGCTCCTGGGACCTGGTTCAAGTACAATGAACACGGGGAAAGGTAAACGTGTCTCAGCCAGGTGTTTTTAAAGTGGCCTGAGGCCTCTGTGAACGGGACAAGGAGGCCGGCGCACTGCTGGGAGGCTGAAAGGAGACCTTCCCCTTAGGAAGCAGCCGGCAGCTGGCGAGTGGGGAGTGTGGTCACGTGGTCCCACATGCCACTCCGGAGGCCAGGGGATGACCTCAGACCCATCACTGGGCACGGGGAAAGCTCGCATGTCCTACCTGTAGTACTCGTGCTTGTCCTGCGAATACAGCAGCGGGTCAAGGCAGGGCCGGTCGTCGACCTTCTCTTCCCAGGTCCCCTCTTTCCACCCTTCTGCGTAACCTTGCAGGACGTACACCTGGTCGATGAAGGGCCCACCGGACTCTGGAGGAGACCAAGCACTCACCGTAAGCGGTAACCTAAGCACAAGTGTGGCCCACGTTGGACTGCCATTGACAGAGAATCATCACTTTACTTAAGGCCCCCTTCTTTCCCAGGACTGGAGGAAGCTCGCCAAAGCGGAGCTGGCACGGAACAAAGGACCTCAGGGCACAGGGTCCCTACAGGGGTGAGGGTTCAACTCGGGCTGCTCCTATGGGCTCTTCTTCGCCCTGACGCCCTGACCTTTTACAGCACCTGGGCTTGCCCTTGGGCTTCTCCTCACTCCTGCACCCCCACTTCCTTCACGCTAGCCACAGACCCCACTCCCTCCCTCATCCTCCTTTCTGGGGTTCCTCCTTGGCTGGCCCCCCCACTGTGCCTCCAAGGCATCAGCATGCTCCCCCCCCCCGACCATCCCCCCACCCCCACCCCACAGCTTGCTCTCGACCCGTGAGGCCATCCAAACTACACCTCCCTGGATGCCTTCCCCGGCCATGGCCACCCGCGTCTCCCACACTGTGGGGGGCCCCCCTTTCCTTCTCTCCATTCACTCCTCAGCATCTCAAATGCCGCCCACTGCAGTGACTCATTTACGTCTTTACCTGCTGCTCCTCACCCCCACAGGAGCTCCAGGAGAGTAGGGGCCTAGGTCCCCCTTACCCACCCACACCCAGAATGTATGCGCCACATCTGTGGTGGTCAAAGATTTGTTCAAAGATGGGATGAATAAGCCAAGTGACTAGAGCGATGGCAAGTGAAATCCTGGTGTCTTTTGCACACTCACTCTTGCTCGGGCACTAACATCTGCATGGCGGTGGCACCTGATGCCAGAGCTCCAGGGGCTCCTCTTAAGCGAGGGGGAAGTGATGCAGCACCAAGAGGCCAGTACATGGCCGGCTGCTCTGCTGCACGCACCCCAGCACCCCATCCCGGGATGGGAACCCAGGCCTGTCTCCCTCTGAAAGGAAGGAAACAGCTAAGCAGAGTCAGCTAATCAGACAGGGCGGAGGCAGAGCCGTCTGGCCCACCTCCAAGCACGTCACCCGGGGCAGTCTGTCCTCCTCCCTGCACCCGCACCCCCCCCCCCGGCAGCTCCAGCTCTGGGGATGAAGTCTGGGGAGCAGGAGGGAGGACACCTGCCTCCTGTCCCCACCTACTCTCAGTTTCCAGTCACTAGACACAATCTCAAATGGCTAAGGCCCAGCCCTGACCCTGTGCCCACCTCTCAGGATACCTGCCACCCCACCCTGCAGGAAGGTGAAGGGCAGGTTCTCTGAGAGGCTCCGTAACCAGGGTTCAGACCAAGGGCAGATGGTTTCCTAGGCTAAATCAAGTCGGATTAAATACCCGGCTACATCTTTCATCTTGGGTTCGGGAGAAAGTGTTCCAACAATACTTTGTACAGCCTCAGAGTTTGTCTCTTCCAAGCAGATACTCCCAGTGCTGTTCTGGGCCTGCTGCACTCACAGGGCTGACTCTGCCACAGAACCCTATCAAAGTGACAGGGCCTACGGTGCAGTGAAAACAGAACTTGAAAAATGAAGATGTGCGAGCCACCATCCTCAGTGTGAGCAGTGATTCTAGGCTGTCCAGGTCACTGCAGAGTAGGAACTCACTCCACAGTATGGGCGGCACAGAGACCTGATCCACCAGTGACTGTTACAGAGTATCAGCAGCTTGGAGACTGTGGCTCATCAACAAATGTTACAGTGTATCAGTGACCTGAAGACTGACCGGCTCTCCTAGGCCTCTCCAGAGAAGGGGAAAAGAGGTATCACTGACTTTTTATGTCTTCTAAACAAAACAACAGTAAGTTCTAAATACCTTTATTCTAAAAAAAATCTTCAACTCTTCTCTCTCTAAAAAATTAAAAAGGGAAGATTAAGCAGGACTAAACGAAACAATGTACTGTTGCAAGTCTTCACCGGCACCACAGTGGACATCATGGGTCAGTGCCACGCATGCGTCATGTTTCCCTTCAGGCGAAATGACCTCTCCTGCACAGGGAGCCGAGTCCCACAGGGACAGCCCCTCTGCGGCCGTGGTGTTCTTGCAGCAACTCTAACTCTCCCTCCTTGACCCACCAGGCTACCGCGGTTGTCAGAGGTGAGGGGGCACAGAGCTCACACACTTCGGATCTGCTGGTTCTTTAGAAAAACCGAGGCAAGACCAAGCCCACTATGTGGTGTGGGAAATGGAAGGATACGGGGCCCCTCCATAGGCTAAGGTGACGACGATGGGTGCAGTGAGAAAGCCCGCTGGCCGAGCTCCCGGCCGGACCTACCATGCACAGCAGAGCCACCACCTCACCTGCAATGAACTGCTCATATTCAATGACGGGGATGTTTCTGTTGAGACTTGGAAGATCAAAAAAGTCGGACCAGGGAATTCGGACCTGGTGAATGTCGGGGCTCTGCCAGTGGTAGAGACGGCCCCAGGGGGGCAGCACCAGCACCCACTCCTCAGTCTTCAGCAGGGTCTTCAGGAGGGAGGCGATTCGGATGTACACATCCCTGCGGAGGTTGAAACCCTCTGGGGGGTTGACATCATACAGAAGGTACCTGGCAGGGAGGAGCAGGACAGTGATGCTTCAGCGAGGAGGCTTCTGGACAGAAAACCCAGGCACAGCCACAACCCACAGCTGATCGCCCACCATGGGGCTTTCTAGTCTGTGCAGTGGAGGCAGCTGCTCACCCACTTCCATCTGACCCACCAGCAGAAGCAACATCTGCTTAACGACTAGCAATAATGCACAAATAAGCCCAGCAGTCTACAGCCAACGTCACACTCCAGCAATTACTGAAGACCCCAAAAGACTGCTGTTTCCGTGTGTTAACGATATAGATAATTCCTGTGTTAAAAGTAAACGTAAGCATGTTGAAAGGAATAAATCTATTACATGTTATCATTAACATTTTAAAGTGAAAAGGAAGTATATTTTCAAGACGAAAATAATTAGTGAAAACAGTGGCAATGTTCGTAATTTCTGCAAGTCTGGTGTGGTTGATAGCTGGATTCTCACATCTGCTGCTGCGTTCAATGTGTTGTGGTATCACAGGTGGTCTCTGGAAAAACCTTCCAGTAAACAAGGGGAAGAAAGAGAGTGAAAAAGGCAAGGACCACCCTGGTATTACTACAAATGTGGCATGACACCGCAGGGGGTCCCTGGACACACTTCTGAGAACTGCCCTATCCAAAGCAACACTACCGCTGCGAACACGCAGGCAGGGGTGCTCAGCTTCTACACGATAGTTACCGCCAGCCTCAACTCCTCTCTTCTCCATATTGGTTTTCCCCCCAACTTCTGTTACTACTGATGAAGCTAGGTGTAATCCCTGGCTTGGGCCTGCAAACACCCAAAGGAAGGACCCATCTACCATCTCTGCACCCCCTCACCAAGCACAGGGTCTGTTTTGTACAAGATGACCTGCACTGATCCAACATCTGGATGGAAGCTGAAAGACTCCGTGCGGATAAACAGGGCTGCACTTTCTTAAGATCCACCCCCTTCGAACACGTGATTCTGAGACTCCGCTTCAGTTAACAGCGTCCTCGGGCCTGACCCTGACCCACAGCCAGGCCTTCCTGGGGTCTCCTGGGGTCGCGACCTCCCACAGTGACCCGGGCTCGCATCTCACTCCCCTGGCCCGGGTTACTAGCCCCGCCCCCACCACCCCACGATTCCCGCCGATTGCACGTAAGCGCGTTTACCTTCTGCGGGACGCTGCTCCCGACAGGATGTCGGCCGCCGACTGGCCGGGCCAGAACTCCTCGCCCGAGGCCCAGACCGACTGCCAGGACACTGCCCCGAGAAGTAAGCAGACGACGCACAGCGCCGCCATGGCCCCGGGCGGCCACGCACTTCCGGCGAGCACGCCCCGCCCCGGAAGCATCCGCCCGGAATTCCTGCGGTAGCGTCTACCGTAGCCACGGCAACGCCGTTAGTCCCGCCCCGCACGTGCATCCCAAGTCCTCCGAAGTTTGGATTTCTCTCGAGTCTCACGAGCGCGGGAGCTGGGGTCCCGGGATGAGGTACGCGCCTTGGACTGGGCGGGGACGCGCATTCAGGAGCAAGAACATCGCCTCCTACGGGCTGGGGAGGGTCTCGGCCGGAGCTCTGCGTCGCTCACTTGGCTAGTGAGGCAGCGCTGGGGCAGCACTCGGCCCTTGCTGGCAGGTGCCCGGCCTTGCTCCAGACCCCGGGCTCCACGTGGTGACTCTACCCCTGCTCATTCCAGGAAGTCGAGGTGCCTTGTGCGGCCCTTGCACCATTGTTTCTCCGGGAACACCTCACGGAGAAAGAGGCCCAGGGGCTGTCCACGTCGGGTACCCACTCCCCAGTTCATTACCCGTCACCCGAAGGAAGTGTGCCTTCTCTTTCCTCCCTTACCCTCCCGCCTCTGCTGCTAGACTCCTGGATTATTTACCAGGAGTGACTGGGAGAGGTTTTATGCGTGTTTCATTAAGAGAAAAAAAATAAATGTTTATACGAATAACTGGAACTGGCTTCCTTCTGCACAACAGTCGGATAGTTGATTTATTGTCTGGGTGTGCAGTTTGGAGAAAGGGCTGGCTCACAGGCGACTCCCAGCAGCGTCCATCTGCACCCACTTGGCCACCAGAGGGCAGTAGAGCCCTTTCTTCCCAAGCCTCACGGCTCTGGAGGGATGGTGGGGAAAGAGGCGGAAGGGAACAGGGCCATATAAGGAGCCTCCAGATAGGACGAAGGAGCGGGGTGTCTCAGACCTGGGCCCACGTCTTTCTGCCCTGGGAACACCCAGAGCTACCGCTCCCTGGATTGGCCCAGCTCCCCCAGAAATGAGCCGCAGGACCGTCACCTAAGAAAGGGAAAGGATCCCCCATTTGTCCTGAGGTTCAGGCTGGTGTGGTTTGTGAATCCCGGGGCCATTGTTTTGATCCCCTTTGGGCCCAGGCGTCTCATCTTTCCCCACAGTTCTTAGAAGTTCCAATGCTGGATGGCGAACCCCAGCCCTGGAGTGAGAGAGACATGGGTAGAACTCTGAGCCCTGCTCTCTCTGAAGGACAGAGAGACTCTTCCAGAAGCTGGGATTCCACAGTAGGAAGCAGAGTGAAGGGAGGGAGGTGGGACAGACACCTGCCGGGCTGGAGGGTGTGTGTGTGTGTCCTCTTCAGAGAGGGGAGCAGACCATGTGTCCCAGGGGACCCCAGTGCTCCTGCTGCTCAGCTTGGTCCAGTCATGTCGCCAAGCTGCAGCCACATTCACAATCACCTCCCAGCCCGTGAGGGGGAGTCCCTGGGGTAGGGCAGAGGAGGGGGTGGAAGGGGAGACCTTAGGGAGGCCTGGTCAGCAGTCGCAGTGGCAGGGATGGAGTGGGGGTTGGGGCAAGGAGGACAGGCTGAGAATCTGTCCCACGGCGTCTCTGAGGTCAACACTGGCAAATGTCAAAGAGTGCATACATTGTTTCATTAAACAGACTGCTTATTTATGTTTGGGAGCCGGTTTCAAGGACTCATCTCAGCCCTCTCAGATGATAACATCAACAGAGCCACAAACAGATGGGGTGGCGGGGAGGGCGTCTGGGTGCTCCTCCTTGGAAGGAAGCACAGCACAGGGGCTTCTGGTGATTCAAAAGGAGACCCCAAATGGCTACCAACTCTACAGCACTTTTGCCCTTTTAGCTCTGGGGCTCTGCATCTGACCAGGATTGCAAATTCTTCCAGCAGAGTCCCCCAAACTGCAGAGGGTGGATCATGGGGGTTACATTTAGACCCAGCCCATGAGAACCCAGAAAGGGGTGGAGGGGTCCTTATCCAGGGTCTCCTGGGCCTAGTACACTGTATTCCAGTCGCAAACTCCTCTGTACCCTGAGGGACCCTCAGAAGCAGGTATGGCTGGGGGCTCTGTCCTCATCTGCCAGTGGGGGCAGCCTGCCCATCTCTAGGGCCCGTAGAGAAGGTGCAGCCAGGTGGAAAGGAGAGTGTGAGCGAGGGCACTGTGTGCCGGAGGGTGAAACATTTCATTTTTCAAATGCACAGCCATTGTCCTATCGTCATTTATTGGAAAAGGTACCCTTTCTTCGCTGACATGAAATGCTACCTTCATCATAAACTGAGTTCCCTGAACTGTATGGTGCTGACCCAGGTCCGGTCCTGCCCCGTGCACCTGTTTGTCCATTTCCACACAACAGCCATGCATCCTCTGTGATGGCTCCACAGCGGGTTCCTTGTCCACATCCTCGTAAAAGCACTTCTGAGCTAATCTCATACACTTTCTCTTCCTTATGAAGCGTAGGACTCACTGTTTCTACCCACCCCTGTCGGGAATTTTTCAGGATCACACGGAGCGGTGGGCATACTTTGGAAGCTGATGAGCAGGAGATCTGGAATCTGGCTCTGGGGTGAGTCTCGACTCATTTAAACTTCAGTGAAGTTTTCTAGTTTTCTCTTGTGTCAGATTCACTCACTTAGTTCTTCATCTATTTATGAGTTTTATTTCTGTCATGAATGGGACACTTGCTGATGAATCATCATAATTTTATATACTGTTGTTTTAATAAATGTCATTGTTTTTGTGTGTTGACTTTAGAATTTGCCACTTGTAATTCTAATGATTGCCAGTTGGTTGTTTTAGATTTTCTAGAGAAATAGTCATATAATTATGCAAATGATTGTGTTTCTATCTGTCTTTTTAGTATTTGTACTTCACCTATGTTTTCTTGTATTATCTTATTTGCTGGATGCAAACATACAATCAGTCATCTTTTTCTTGTTTCTGGCTATAGTGTGAGTGGTTCTAATGCGGGGGTCTGCAAACCATGGCTGGGGACCAGATCCTGCTCACGGTGGTCTCTCTTTGTAAATGAAGCACACTGCCAGGCCCATTCATTTACATGTTGTCTAATGGGTGCTTTCATACTGTGGCATGTTAATTAGTTGGGACAGAGGCCATTTGACCTGAAAAACCTAAACTATTTGCTCTCCGACCCTTTGGAGAAGTTTGCTGACCCCTGTTTTAATGTACTGAGGTTGAGGAGTTTTCCTCCCATTCTCAGCTTCCTGAAGATTTCTGCTTGTGTGTGCTTGAAACTTAGTAATAAGAGTTACATTTTGCCAAATGCTTTTGCAGGACTAACTATCTTTTGAGATGCTCAAGGATTTTCCTCTTCTTAATCTCTTAATGTAGCAACTCATCCTTGCATTCCTGAGATGAGCTTTACTTGCCCCTGATGTATTGGGTGCTGTTTGTTCATGCATTTATTTAGGGTAATTATGTCCCTGTTACAAATCACATGTTCCTATCAGCGTGCGTGCATTATCCCACCCTGGGGGGCATGTGCTGAGAAAGGTTCATATCATAAGAGACAAATGATCATGTGACATCTGCCAGTCCCCATTCAGAATCTGGGAAACACCCAACTAAGTGGCGATATAAACCTGCTACAAAACCTTGTTACAAACACGGCAAGAGCATGGTGAGCATGTGGTTAGTATGGCCACAGTGCCGGGGCTGACGCAGGTTTGCAGACTGTGTGGCTCGGCTCCTTTTCTGTGGGAGAGATAACAGGCTTCTGGCTGAAGGCGCCAGACCAGAGTCGGAGCTGGAGAAGGCGGGCCGGGCTCTTATCTCAGCCGTCTGCCTGGGAACCTTCCGGACCAGATGGTCACATCTGGGCAAGTAGCTCCAAAGGGGCTTAGAATCAGAGCCTGCAGCAGTGCTGAGGGCGTGGCATGCTGGGTGATTTCACGATCACGTGCGTTCGGTGTCAGACACTGACTGCTAGGGCACATCGAGGAAGGCCAGCACGTGCTGAAGGCTTGCCCAGTGGCTCCTTGGAGCCTCTTTGGGCTGCTTGGAGGTGGGCACCCCGGGGACCCTTGGGCTGTAAGGACAGAACTGAGCTCTCAGGGGCTTGAGCTAAGAGATGCATGTTCTGGAGTTTAGAGGTAAATAGCCAGAGGGAGAGGCTGATGAACCAGGTGCCTCAGATATGCCCCAGCCCTCACTACCTCTATTGCTCCGTCTCCCTCTCCTCCCCCCACCCTCTCTCTTCTCTCTCTCTCATTTCCATGTCTCCACCCACCTCTCCCCCCCACCCTCCATTGTGGGCACTCACTGCCCAAGGGGGCAGCCACAGAGAAGCTGGCAGAATACACTTCTGGAAAGATGGGCTGGGCACAGAGCAGGCTGCCCCAGGGAAGCCCTGGAGCCACACCTGTGGGGCTGCCCTTGACGACAGGTGGGAGAGATACGGGAAGTAGGTGGGCATTGGATAGAAATCACCTGCTTTAACAGATACAAAAAACTGTCAAGTAATTAGGCATGTCTAGCCCCGATCCCCGTCGTGTCCCCACCACGTACCAGGCCACTGAGCAAGGTGCATGTTTTCCAAACACAAGTTTCTGGAGGTAAAGGCTGGGCCCTGGACTCCTCAGAAGTGCAGGCTTAGCATTTAAGCCACCCAGCCGCCAGCTGGTCCCGGGTCTGGGGACCGGGTCTGGGAAAGATTTCCCAGAGTTGACCAGTTCCTCCAAAACCCTGGGGGCATGTGGGAATTGTCCCATCAGAGCTCAGGATGGAATTTCTGCCTCTAACTGGGCAGCTTGCTGCAAACCACGACTTTCTATCTTAATCCCATGGGACTGGGAAAGCCCGGATCATAAGACCATCAGACAAATTCCTCTGAAGGCTAACAGGCACTGGCCTGGCTGCGAAGGACAGTCAGGCTCCTGGGAACCTCCTCTGTCCCAGAATTCACCTCCACCCCAGGCATCCACCCTGCCCCTGCCCCGCTCATGGGGCTCTCCTGCAGGCACCCTGCTTCCCTCGGCCCAAGTTCATCCTCATGCTCGCCACCTTGCTTCCCCAGCCCTGGGGAATCT